TATTTATAGCAAATTCGACAACAGCGAAGAAGCAAATTAATATTTTACACATAATTACCTTACTGTTTTGGTAAGAATAATTACTTTGGCTAATGAAAAATGCAAAAACATGCCTACTGCTAATATAAAAGAATATGTCATCAATTAATTAAAGTTTTGTTAATTTAGAATAAATGAAATGAGACACTAAAATTAAAGTTTAAATTTTATGTCAAAACGCGTTAGCTCAATTTATAAAAAGTGATGGAAATATAGAAATTGTCGCTATTATAGTTCCTAAGTACTTTTTTCTTTCTTTTATAATCAGTTAGAAATTTGGAAAAAATTAATCAAAATGATAACAATTGTTAGTTTACATTTTATCATATTGCACACTTTTTAACACTTCAGTACATTAATTAAATTATTTAGAATGGAAGTTAAAAGTGATGCATGTATAATGTAAGCAATGGAAAAATAGGAAATGGAAAAGATGGCTAAAAATTGCCAAGGAATTTGAGCTAAAAAACAAGATTGTGGAATAGGATAATATTTAAATTCATTTTAGTGTTAAATTTAATAATTTTCAAATAAAGTTTTCAATTTTTTCCCATGGGATAACAGCTTTTGGTGATGCGGAAAGATTGAGTAAAAGAATTTGAATTTAACGCAAATTTTTGTAGAAACTAGTACTTATTTATCAAAAAATTTTTAATATAATTTCTAATAAAAGTAAAAAGGTAAAATAAAATGAAAAAGGAAAAAAGGCATAATAAAAATAAAGAGGAAAGATTAGAAATATCAAATTTTGCGTTAGTATTTAAAACATTTAGTCATTTTAATTTATTTTTATTAAATAATTAATAAGCAATGAAACTAAATAATTATTGTTAGTAATGATTTATTTAACTATAGTTTAATTTGCCTAGGTTATTATCGTTGTTATTGTTTAATGGTTAAGCAAAATGGCCAACAATAGACAAACATATATATCTATCAATTCATTAATTTGAATCAAAATTTTTTTGATTTTACTCATCAACGAGTTATTCATCATGTTTGCTAATTAATTTAAAAATAATTTTTGGAAAGTTTCCACAATTAAAAATATAATTTTTCTCAAAAAAAAAGAATTTTTATTGATAAAAAAATAATTGAAGTACAGAATGTTCTGAATTACAACAAAAACTTTCCGATATATGCGCAAGTATATAAATGCATGTGTCCAGGAATTAATTAACTAATCAAAATATTTTATTTTCATCAAAACTGAAATAAAACGTTTTGATTTATTCGTTATTATTGCAAAAATTAGAACAGAGAAATTAAAATAATTTTAATTTAAATTGATGAAAAAGGCAAAGAATACAATATTCTTTCACTTTTATTATAAAAGAAATTAGAATTTTATAAAAAGTGTGTTCTCAAAATTTTTGCTTTTGAACAGATTCTGTCGTAAGGTGTGAAATAAAAGAATTTATTTCAAAAAAAATGATCTTAAAATGTTTCCCTAATTTTTTTCATAATTTCAATTGAATGAAGAAATTTTGAGTTTAAATAAAGTTTCATTTTCATTTTTATTTTCTTTTTTCAATTTTGAAAAAATTGAAAACGAAAGATATGCTTTCTTATGCTGTTTTATATACGGCTTTCTTATTTCAAAACAAATCGTTTTTTATCATTTAATATTTGATATTTAAAATTAAAATTAAAAAAAAAAAAACATGAGACGCGCATATGTGCAAATGATGCGGCGTGATGTGTGACATCCATGCCCTATAGATTGTGCAGCCGGAGCGAAATGCTAATGTGACAATTGCGCATTTTAGTAGCAGGAGAAAAAAAGGGAAAAATCAGAAGAAACATAGAATAAAAGCAAATATAGTGGAGATTGTATGTGACTGTTTGTAATATCATAATTAGCATTCCCTTTTTTTTTTGGATAATTAAAATAGAAAAGATAAAAAAGTTTTTATTTTTTATAATTTAAGAAGGAAAAAAAATGAGAGAATTGGAAAAAAAATATTGATAATGAAATTTTTATATTAAATTATCAGTTTTTTGTTGGGGATCATCATGAACCTGCTGCTGCTGCTCAAATGTCGCACTCTGGCCAACTTCACTCAACGGTAATGAAGCACCTTCACCATCGATCTCTTTGATACCCTTACCGGGATCATTTTCTTCCCCCTCACTGTCCTTGGCAGTACGAGCCGAGATTACATCGCTATCATTTTGTTCGGTAAGATATGATTTGCTGCTTTTTTTTCTTTCGGTGACTCCTGTTGTTGTTACCGTACCAGGAATACGATTTCCACTACCGTATGCATAATTACTGTCAGACAGATCTGCAAATTTATTAAATATCTCAAAAATAATAATGCTAGAATTTATGCTATTTTCAAGTTTATGATATTAAAAATCTTATGATATATTACAAAAATTTATCATTAACAAGAATTCAGTAATTAATTTTACTAGCTAATAAAATCATAGAAAAAATGATCAAACAAACCGGAATATTTCAGAATAATCTTTGAATCATCAGTCACATTTGGATCAAAACCTGATGAACCAATGGTGAAAGATGGTGTACCGAAATATGCATTATACGAATTTATTGTTCGACTAAAATGATATCATTAGTGTTTCAATTTCATTTATCACATTCATATTTGGAAAATAAAATAATTTTATATATGCATCGATCATTTAATTGATTAATTCGCCTTTAAAATTATTAAATTATTTGATGAAATAATAAAAAATTGCTGAATGGATAAAGCGATAATTAAGTAATTAACTTACTCATATAAGCCACATCCTTCTCCGCTACCCGAAAAGCTTACATTCAATCGATTCATTTCACCGCTTAATATTTTATCACTAATCTCACGACGTCTGCGACGTTCACTATTCAGCTGATCACGCATTATATTTAATTGATTTTCCAATTGATTTATTCGATTCTTCAGTGAACGTTCACGATTTTCAATTATTCGTTCGATCTAATATTTGCAAAATAAAACGAAATGAAATTAAAAATTTTTAATTAAATTATAAAACTTTATTTCAGAAATTCAAAAATTTTCTTTTTGATAAAAATGCACATAGCTAACGACTTGAGAATATGATAGATAAATTAATGAAAAGAAGTAATTTTCGAGAAAAAAAGCACTGTGAGTTTACATTCTAAAGCAAATTTTTCCTGAAGGGAATTTTCCGGAAGAAAACGAAAAGAGAATTAAGGATTGCTACAACCTGCAACTTTTCCGTTTTCATATTTTGCAGGAATTTGTCGTGTTCCTCGCGTTGCTTACTTGTAAGCTGCACCAGCCTGTTCCCGTTTTCCAATTCAAGTTGCGCGATTTGCTGTTGTAATTGTGCGCAATTACGATGCAATTCCTTAAACCAAAAAATTAAAACAAAGTAAAGACAAGAAGATAAAAAATTAGTCTTAAAAATTTGAATTGAAATCGTAAATATCAAAAGTATAAAATTATTGTTTATTTATGTTATGTCCCTAAATTTGCTAATTAGCTAAAGATTTATTAAATTTACCAAAATCATAGAACAAAACAAAAAAATGAGTACTTCAAATTTGTTCAAATTTCGTAAATTTTGTCAAATTCTAAAATATTCAATATCTTACTTGTATAGTTTATATAGAATAATGCAATTTGAATAAAGATATTTGTTGAAAAAAGAAATTGAAAACCTTATTTTCATGTTCCAATGCATTCAATGAATTTTCAATTGCTTCACGTTGCAATGATGTTTCATGAAGAATATTTTCCGCTGCTCGTTTTTCCTCATCAAGCTATAAATAATTTGAATAATTTAATTTTTAAGAAAAATTTAGAATTTTCTTTTAAATTTAAAAATAAATAAAATTTACAACTAACGAGTTCAATACGCTTCAGTAATGCTAAGCGGATTTTCTCAAGTTCATCATATTTCTCGCTGATGATTTTCTTCTCCGTTTCCATTCGCGCTAAACGTCGTTGCACATCACGGAGATCATTCTGTAGCGCATTACGCTCATTCAACGCCGACGATAATTGTTGTCGAATTTCGCTTTCAATTGTTCGTTGTTGTGATACCGTCTGTTAATGCAATATGCAATTTTAAAAAAAAAAAAAACGATTGTTTTAAGAAAGTAAAAATTTTGATAAAGTTTTCTTAATTATTTTAATAAATGCTAAGTTGATAATTAACTGAAAAAGAAACTAAAATTAAAAATAAACTTTTTCCAAATTATGCAATCTATTCGCAAGACGTTTCTTGTCATTTTCGGCATCAGCTAAATGTCGTTGAAGATCTGATATGCGATTTCTGTTATCAATAAAGCGTTGCTTCATATCACGTAATTCGGAACGTACTATCAGCAGCTCATTTTCAAGTTGTTGCTTTCGATTATTTGCATTTAACAAATCGTTCTGAGCACTTTCAAACTTAAAAAAAATTTTTGTAAAAACTATCGGAAGTTCTGCATCTTCATAAATTTATACCAATCATACTTTTTTTTTAAAAAAAAAAAAACAGCTTGCTTGTGATAAAATCAGTTTAATGAATTTTTGTTGGTTTTGTTATCTGATTAAATGTCTCATTGATGTTTTAATAAAATTAGCCATTAAAATATGTGAAAAATTTTGGAAATTTTCAATAATTTCAGTTCTAATTTGATTAAAATAGTTGAAATGAAATTTGTCATGTAAATAATTTCAAACAATTTCAACAATCAAATTTAAAATTCTTATCTTGTTTTTTCGTTCCATTCTATCAAGATTATTAAATTATTAATCGATAACTTATTGCTTCCTTTTTATTACATATAAATGATATTTTAAAATATGGTGGAATTTTAAAATAATTTTTTTAGATAGTAAATCTTTATTAGAAAATAAAAAAGAAAAGTTGAGATTATTTATTTCAATGTAATGAATAAAAACTACCTGATCCTTCAAAATTTGATTATCACTGATAACGCGTGAATTCTGATCAATGCTTCGTCGAAGTTCTGCTTCATTTGCTGCTGCTTTCAACAAATCTTTTTTCAAACGATCGTTATCTTCCCTCATATCATTATTTTTACTTTCAATTTGCTGAAGTCGACTGGTAACTTCGCGTACTTTTTCATTGAGAGACTGAAAAATCAATATAGTAATACATGAATAATTGATATTCGTGTTCAAAAATTTTAAATGAAAAATGCTTTTTCTTGAAAAAAGACGCGAAATATTTTGTAGCAAAAAATTAAGACTTATTTTATCTCTTTTTAATTAATATTACTAAGCCAAAACATTGTCAAAATCAAAATACAGGCATATCATATAAATTGAAATCTATAAAAATTTAAATGATATAAAACATAGGAATGAAGAAAAAAATAGGACAGTTAACGACTGATAATTTTATTCGTAAACTCTAAATCAATAATTTATTCTCATTCATATCCCGAATCATTTTAATTCTATCATTAACTTTTTTCAATTAACAAAATACGAATCATCGAATATGAATCATCGAATCATTTTAATTCTATCACTAACTTTTTTCAATTAACAAAATTCTAAAAAATTTTAAGAAAAAATAAAATTTTTAAAAAACAAACATACATTTCGTTCAGTCTCCAAAGTCGCTATCGATAGGCGAACTTGTTGCGACTCATTTTCTTGATCTTTTAATTTACTTTCCAAATGGAATTTATGTGTATACCATTGTTCTTCATGATCACGTAGTACTTCTAAATCACCTTGTGCTCTCTCTAAATCTTTACGTAAACTTCGAACAAGTTCCTGAAAAAAAGTAAGAAATAAAATTAAATAAAAGCTTAATTAATTTCAAGCTTTCTTTTCTCGCTTTTTTCTTCTCTTTTTTGTTCTTTCAAAAAAAAAAAAATCATCTTCATTTGCTCATTTTTCATTTTTTTTTTTGTTTCACTTCTCATTTACCATAAAGCATTTTTCATTCCAATCATTCCAAATTTGAATTCATACATTTAATTGACGTAGCTGCGCTTCTTTTCCACGTGCTTCCATTTCAAATTTTGCTATTTTCAATTTCATATGGCGTCTTTCCTCATCACGCTGTTTGAGTGCTTCCTCTTGAGAGCGTAAAAGTTGCTTAGCTGATGCTAAGCGCATTTCTAGCGTACGCCGCTCTGAAATTATCGATGAAGTTATATTTATTCCACTGTAATTAATAATTCCAGAAATCAATCAATCTTTTTGAAAGAAACAGAGGAAGAAAGTATCGTAATAAGGTTAATCTAAGTTATATTGTTTTAAAAAAAGTAATGATTTTGAATTTTAGTATAGTATTTGCTAAAGAATTTAACATCAATGATAAAAAATTAATGCTTTAATCAAATTTTCATTTGCAATTACAAATGTAGTAAATAAGTAAACAATTTTAATTGAGTATACTTTATTTATCAATTAATTTTAACTAAATTTATAATATCCTTTTGCATTTACCATCTTCAACATCCACTAGCTGATCTTCGATATTCCTAAAGATCGTTTCCTGTTTATTAATTTTAATATGAGAATCGATACCCTTCTTTTTCACTCTATCAAGCGCTTCACGATATTCATTCTGGAATTATATTTACTGTTTTTTTTTTTCTGTTTGAAATTATTTAAATTATCTGAATTCCTCTAAAAATGAATTTCCATTCTACGACATACATCTCATCCCAAAAATTTTTCAAAAATTTTTACTCCATATGACATTAAATTAAATTTCATCATATCAATTAATACTAACAAAACTAACAATTAGAATATTATCTTATAACTGAATAAAAAAATATGAAGCTTACTCGTTCCAATTCAAGTTTTTCGATACGTCCAATCAGCTTCTGCATATTTGTATCAAGTTCGTTAATATCAAATCTTTCCTTGCTTTTTTCTAACAGAACATCAATTAATAAAATTTTTAACAACATGGTATAAAAATATTGAAAATTTAGGCTCCATTAATTTAAAAATTTTATTCAACAATAAAATTTTAAATTAAATGGTTAATTAGTGCTAATTTATTCTGCCCAAAGTAAAATAATGATTGGAAAGTAATGAACTGAAACAAAATTCGAATTCGCTAATTGATTTATGTAATTGGAGCTAATAATTAATGCTTACCATCAGGTGATTTTTGTGCTTGTTGTGTTGTTTCCTTCTTTTCTTCAACTGATTCATCCTTCAAATTTTATTCATAATTAATTGCAATTTTGAAACAAATATTTTCTAAAAAAAGTTTGAACTTTAAATCTAAAATTCTTAAATATTTAATTAAATCAACTAACAACATCGATCAAAAATCGATTGATCACAACTGTCCTATCGATCATCGAGTGAAGGCGACGCAATGCATCATACAACATTTCGCGTTCATTTTCCACAGTAACATAATTTTGTTGTAAAGTTATGAGATATTGTTCAGCATTATCCAATCGAGACT